TTCACTGTGCGTTGTCTATGACTCTGTCTCTCTCATTATTACTGTGAAATTTCTCTGTGTTGTTTCATGTCTCACTCTCGCTGTTGCTGTGTGATCTGTCTGTGTATTGTTACAAATCTATATCACTCATTGTTATTGTTTGATTTCTGTGCATCACTTCATCTGTCTCTCTTTCTTATAGGTACACAGTATTGTTCAATCACTGCCTCACTCATTGCTGCTGTTTGATTGCTTTCTCCCTAATTATTCCTGTGTGATCTCACTGTATGTTGTCCCAAGTCCATCTATCAAATTGATAGTGTGAGATGTCTGTGTCTTGTTCTACACTTCAATCATACTGTTATTATGCTTTCTTTCTGTTTACTATCAATGCGTAATCACTAGGAATTGTTCCATGTGTCACGCTCATTATTACTCTCTGATCTCTGTCTATTGTCCATGTTTCGCTCTCATTGTTACTGTGTGATCTCTCTGTATGTTGTTCCAAGGCCTTCTCTTGTATTTTTACTGTGTGTGTTCTCTATTTATTGGTTCCATACGTGTTTCCCACATTGTTACTGAGTGATCTCTCCTTGTGTCACTCCATGTCTCAGTATCATTATTACTGTGTGAACTATCTGTGTACTGGTTATGTCTCACTTTCTCATTGTAACTGTATGATTTCTGTGTGTTGTTCAATGTCATAGTCTCATTATTACTGTGGGATCCCTCTGTGTATTGCTCCATGTATCTCCTGCTTGTCTACTGTGTAGTCTCTCTGTGTGCTGTTCCATCCCTCTTTATGTCACTGCTACTGTATGAACTCTGTGTTTTTCCACTTCTGACTCAATGTGTTACTGTGTGACCACTGTATTTGATCATGTCTCTCTCTCTCTCTTATTATAACTGTATGATCTCCATGTGTTTTTCCCTGTCACATTCTCGTTGTTACTGTGTGATCCATCTGTATGTTGTTGCATGTTTCTCTCTGTCATAGTTGCCATGTGATTTTGCTGTGCATTTCTCACATATCACTCACATTTTTGTATTGTTCCTTCACACTCTTTCGTTGTTGCTGTGTGATCTATCTGTGTATTATTCCTTGTCACTCTGTGATTGTTACTGTGTGATCCCTGGGTATTTTTGTATGTCTCGCTCCCATTTTTACAGTGCGATATCACTGTTTTTTTTACAATACTCTATCTCTCTTCCATTGTTACTGTGTCATCTCTCTGTATTTCTTCACGTTTATCTCTCAAATTGTTACTAAATGATTTGTCTCCGTATTGTTCCAGTCCTAAATCTCATTGTTACTGTGTGCTTTCTCTGTGTATTTTTCGATGACTATGTTGCATATTGCTGATATATGATCCATCTTTCTCTTGCTCATTGTACAATATACAAATATCACAGAGTCACAATGTCTGATGCTCATTATTACTGTGTGATCACTGTGTATTGTTCCATGTCTCACTTTCATTTTTACTGTGTGATCTGTCAGTGTATTCTTCCACCTCCATCTCCCTAATTGTTACTTTTGATATTTCTGTGTATTATTCTTACTCTCATTGATACTATGCACTCTCTCTGCATACTGTTCTGCCTCTCAAGCACTCTTGTTGTTACTTTCTGATCTGTCTGTAATGTTCTGTGTCTCACTGCCATTTTAAATGTGTGATCTCTGCATTACTGGCCCATATCTCACTCTCACTATCACAGTATTGTTTCACATTTCACTGTGGTTGTTGTCATTGTTGTTGTGTATTGTTCCATGTCTCCTTTTCATTGTTGTGTTATGATATCTCTGTCAATTGCTCTATGTTCATTTACGTTATTGTTACAATTGATATTTCTTTGTATTGTTCATATGTCATTCATTGTTACTGTGAGATCTCCATGTCAATCCTCACTCAGTGCCACAGTGCAATCTCTTTGTCTCATTCTTTTTTCCACATCTCACTCTTATCATTTCTAGTAATTGCTCAGTGCCTGGCTCAGTCTCATCTTTACTGCATTATGTCTCTGTGTATAGTTCTATGCCTCTCTCTTTGCGACTGTGCAATCTTTCTGTATTGTTAACATATCACTCTTAGTTACTATGTGATCTCTCTCTGTATTGGTCCATATCTCTCTTTGTCATTGTTACTTTGTGAACTCTCTCTGTGAAGTCCCATGACTCTCTTTCTTGTTGGTACTTTGTGATCTATCTCCATGTTGTTCCATGTGTTGTCTCATTGATTGTAACTGTGTGATCTTCTGTATATTGTTACAAAACTATCATTTCAATTGTTACTGGTGATCATTCTTTGTATTGTCCCATGTTACTCTCTCATTGTTACTATGTGATCTCTGTCTATATTGATCCATATCTATATCATTCAATGTTTCTGTGTGATCACTGCTTGTATTCTACCATGTCTGTCTCTTAATTTGTTATTGTGAGATCTGTGCATTGTTCCACACCTTTCTCTCACTTTGTTACAATGTGTTCTCTCTTTGTATTGCTCCATGGTTCACTCGGATTGTTACTCTGACACCTCCCTGTGTGTTGTTCCATGTCTTTCTCTCTAATTCTTACCATATGACCTTTGTGTATTGTTCAACGTCTCATTTTCACTGTTACTGTCTGATTTCTCTTTATTGTTCCATGTCTCTCGTCTCTCATTGTTACTGTGTGATCTCTGTTCATTGTTCCATGTCTAACTTTCACTGTTACTATCTGTTCTTTCTGTTCCATGTCTCTCTTTCTGTCCCCACCCCCTTATTATTGTTGCGTGATTGCTGTGTATTGTTCCATTTCATAGAGTTACGAAGGATAGAAACAGGCCATTTGGCCCACCATGTCTATGCTGACCAACAAACACCAAACTACATTATTCCCACTTAACTGCACTTGATCCATAACCTATTATGCCTGGGCATTTAAGTACTCATCCAGATGCTTCTTACATGTTGCGAGGGTATCTGCCCCCACCACCCTCTTAGGCAGTATGTTTCATATTTCTACCACACTCTGGGTGAAAAAATTATTTCTCAGATTTCCTCTAAACTATTTGCTCCTCACCATAAATGTATGCCCTCTGGTCTTAGATACATCTGCCATGGGGAAGAGATTTTCACAAGCTACTCTGTCTAGAATCCCTACAGTGTGGAAGCAGGCTTGGTTCAGACCATCAAGTCCACACTGATCCTCCAAAGAACATCCCACTCAGTACCCCTACCCCTGTAACCCTACATTCCCAGTGGCTAATCCACCTAGCCTGCACGTCCCTGGACACCATGGGCAATTTAGCATGGCCAATCTACCTGACCTGTACATCCTTGGACTGTGGGAAGAAACCAGAGTATCCAGAGGAAACCCATGCAGACACAGGGAGAATGTGCAGATTCCAAAGTCACCTGAGGGTGGAATTGAACCTGGATCCCCTGGTGCTGTGAGGCAGCAATGTTAACCACTGAGCCACCATGCCATCACTCAGGATCTATGCCTCTCATAATTTTGTATACATCAATCAGATCTTCCTTCAGTCCCCTCTATTTCAAGGAAATTTAACCCAGCCTACCTAGTGTCACTTCATAACTGAGACTTTCCATTCCAGGCAACATCCAGTTGAATCTCCTCTGCACCCTCTGCAGTGCAATCACGTCCTTCTGATAGTGTGGCAACCAGAACTGCACACAGTGCGCCATCGTTTTATAAAGTAACAAGACTTCTTTGCTCCAATATTTTATGAAGGCAAGCATCCTGTTTGCCTTCTTCAGCACGGTCTACCTGTGCTATACTCCCATTGTTCGGGTCTCTCTCTTCTCTCATTATTACTGTGCGATCTCTGTGTATTGTTCCATGTTTCATTTTAATTGTTGCTGTGTGATCTTTGTGTATTTCAACCTCTCTGTCATTGTTACTTTGTGACCTGTGCATTGTTTTCCTGTCCTCACTCATTATTACTGTATGATCTCTGCATTGTTCAGGATCACATTTTCATTGTTACTGTCTGATCTCTGTGTAATTTTCTCTATCACACATTATCTATCTCTCTCACAGTTTTACTGTCTGATCTTTGTGTATTGTTCTATATCTCACTGTAATTGTTACTGTCTGATCTATCTGTATTATTCCCTGTCTCTTCTCTCTCATTGTAACTATCTAATCTCTGTCTATGATTCAGTCTCTCGCTCTCATTGTTACTATTTTATCACTGTGGATTGTTCCATGTCTCTATCTTTATTAATGTGTAATCTCTTGTATTGTTCCCTACCTCTGCATCTCATTATTACTTTGTGATCTCTATAGATTGTTCATATCTCTCTTTTCATTGTCACAATGTGAGCTCTGTGTATTGTTCCATCTCTCTTCCTAATTGTTACTGTGGTCTCTGTATATTTTCCCCGATCTGTCTCTTTCATTATTACTGCATGATCTCTGTATATTGTCCCTGCCTTTCCTTCTCATTGTCACTGTGTGTTATCTGTGTATTGTTCCCGTTTCTCTCTCTCTCATTGTTACTGTATGATCTCTATGTATTATTCTGGTCTCTCTCTCTGTTACTATATATTCTCTATATATTGTTCCTATCTCTTTCTCTCTCATTGTTACTGTGTGATCTCTATGTATTGTTCCTGTCTCTTTCTCTCTCATTGTTACTGTGTGATCTCTATGTATCGTTCCTGCCTCACTCTCTCTCATTGTTACTGTGGGATCTCTTTGTATTGTTCGTCTCTCTCTCATCGTTACTGTGTGGTCTCGATTCCAGTCTCCCTCTCTCATTGTTACTGTGTGATCTCGATTCCAGTCTCTCTCTCTTTCATTGCTACTGTGTGATCTCTATGTATTGTTCCTGTCTCTCTCTTATTGTTACTGTGTGGTCTCAGTACATTGTTCCCTGTCTTTCTCGTTGTTAACCGTGATATCTGTGTATTGTTCCCCCTCTCTCTCTCTCATTATGACTGTGTGATCTCTTCCTGCTGTTTGTGACGTGCCCTGACGCGAGGAAGGGGGTGGCCAGTCAGTCAGTCATTGATTAAGTCTCTGTGTCTGTTGTGAATGTGTCTCGGTGTTAATCTGGCCGTCCTCTGGACTTTAATGATGCGTGCGTGTCGGCGTTTGGATGTCCCCCTGTCGAACAGAGTGCCAGGAGCTCGCGAAGCGTGAGGAAGGCAAAACGGGGCCGGGGGAAGAGGAACTAGTTGAAGCAACACACATACACACAGAGAGAGAGAGGGGAAAAAAAGTGGAAAAGCAACAGCTCACTTTTGTTTTTGTTCTGATTGCCATGCTGTTGGTTTAGCGCTGCGATGGCGGATAGAGCGGGGCAGCAGCAGCAATCCGGAGGAACGGCAGTAGGAGCAGGAACTGAATCGGGAGCGGAGCCAGCGCGGCACTCCCGCCGGCTGCAGTACACTCACCCGCGGGCCACTTGCTGAACCTTTCTCCCTGTCTGCAGCGCCGCTTCGGATCTCCTGCTGCTGTTAGGGGCTGCAGCAACGGTATGCACCGAGGCTGACTCGCTTTCTTTAATTGGGATCTTTCTGTTCCTCACACACATCCAGGGCTTTTTTTTCAAACAACTAGCCCCCCCCCCAAAAAAAACAAAATCAGCGGAATAAAGGGCAGCAGTGGATTCGAGAGAAACATTGGGAACCTCTTTCTTTATTTAGGGGGGGCAAGTGAAGGGAAGAGAAGGATTCAGAAGCGGAAGAAAGTGGCTCAGAAGTTTGCTAGAGACCGATTTGAGAAGCCCCTACCTTTTCCCCTTCCTCCTGCCCCCAGGTCACCCCCATGGGGGCGAAGCAGAGCAGCCCGGCTCCGAGCGGTCGCACCCGGGCTTACTCGGGCTCCGATCTGCCCTCTCACACGGTCAGTAGCAGCAGCCGCTCGGTTGGGGGATCCGCCGCCGCCGCTTCTTCTTCATCATCCAGCGCCTCGGGCCACGGTTCAGTGGCCGCCTCCGGGTTGGCCCCTACCTCCAGCGGCCGCTTCCACTTGGTCTCACCGACGCCTCCTCTTCCACCTTCGGCCGCCGGTGGTCCCAGGTCAGCGACTGGCGCCAGCAGCAGGAACCAGTCGGTCAACATCCCCAACAGCGGCGGCACTTGCAGCTCGCAAGAGGAGTCGGAGGGCAGCACCCCGGAGGAAAGGACACCCGAGCGGCCGGGAGCACACAGCTCAGCTCCCCGCTTACTCATCGGCTCGCTGCCCGCTCACCTGTCGCCTGACTTATTCGGAGGTAAGCGCTTCTTTAGAAACCGGGCGGTGTGGGAAGAGCTCTCTTCACTAACGCGCTTTCCCGAGAGGACAGGACCCCCACCCCGCCGCCGAGCCTAACCGAAGGGGCTCCCCTGTATTGGGGGTCCTCCCCTTCTGATGGAAGCGGGGTTTTTCCTATTGATATTTCTAAAAGAATCACTGGAACGAATTTTAACAGGTTCCATTCCTCCCCCAAACGCGGATCCCTCAAACCCTTCAGTGTGCCTTTGTCAACAAAAAAAAAGCAATAACAAAGAAGTTGTAGAGATTAATAGGGACCCCTGTTGCTGACAGCACTGCCTTATCAATATGCGGACTTTCAAGCGCTTGCGTACAGTGTGGCTCTCTTTCTTGGGAAAGCGGTCATGCTTTTGAGAATATCACCCACCTCCCCCCCCCCAAGCAACGTGTTCCGCACAGATTTGATGTTCCCACCGATCTCACAGGCACCACAGACTAAGCCCCATTACAATTTTGTTTTTGTTCTGTGGCACCTTCCCATTATTTACATCTGTGTTTTCAAAACACGTCGTTGTCCCCGCTCTGGGGCTGGCTGTTAACAGGTGACGTGGAAAGGGGGAGACTCTGTACCGAGTAAGTCACAACCGGAGACTTCCACAGCTCCCACCGGCAACACGTTGCTTATTCCTCGATGCATTATTTACTCGAGTACCGGGTTCTGATTCGGGAAAGCAGTTTGCATCCCCCCGGGTGTTTATATAGTCACTTTACCCAAAGCCAGTAAAAGTGAATCGGCGGTATAAACTCGGCTGTGTGATTGAGAAGTTTGACATCAGAAAGAAGTGCAACTTGGTTGACAAATTGTCAAGTATCCTGCTCACACACTCGCCCCTTTCACAAGGCGCGGTGTAGAATCTGTGAGTTCCTCGTTGCTCTGGGCGATCCCTGGTGAGGGATCTCTGTTATTAGGATGTTTTCTGTGGAGAACTGTATGGC